TTTCTTTCTTTCTTTCTTTCTTTCTTTCTTTCTTTCTTTCTTTCTTTCTTTCTTTCTTTCTCCTTCCTTCCTTCCTCCAACCTTCCTTTCTCTCTTTTCCTTCCTTCCTTCCTTCATCTTCCTTCCTTCCTTCCTCTTTCTTTCTTTCTTTCTTTCTCTCAACTTCGCAGGGAAAGAAAGGGGAGTAGAACAGTCTACTATGTCGCTTCGGCAACCTGGCCCAGTAACCCTCCTGAGCTCCTACTTCTGCCGCCCCTTGATTTGGAGCGTTTTTTTACTCTGGAACTTTCAGCAACCTGCAGCTCTCCTGTGTGTTGAGCTCCCAGGAGGAGCGCGGGAACTTCTCCCCATGCCCTGCTCTGCCCTCTGGAGCCTTGTGGGACGGCTTCATTTGGGGCAAGTGCCCGGAGAAAGGGGAAGTGAATGAGGGACAGTTGCATGTGGTAATGTGGTTCCCTGAGCGCAGCCCTTGCTGTTCCTCCTGTTAACTTCTTTACTCTAGGCTAGCCCTGGGGTTTGGGAACTCAAGTTCTGGCTCTAGTGCTTACCTGCCGGCTGGCCTGGCAGAAGTGGCTTCATGTCTTTGAGCTTCAGTTTCTTTATCCTTCAAAGGGGCTAATCATAATATCCCCTTCGTTATGAGGTGGGGATTATGAATCGTTGGTGGTCTTCCCAGCCCAGAGTAATGGCTAAATCCGTACCTGCTACATTCTGGCCGAGGTGCAAATCCACATTGCTTTAGTCCTGCTGGAAGGACTTTCGGGATGAAAAAAAATTCTCTGGTGCTTGACATGCAGGGGGAAAAAAAAAAAATTAAAACCCAGATCAGATTGGCTGGATATTCGTATTGGGTGAAATGAAAAGATTAGTTTAGTAGGAAAACGGTGACTTCTGACTGCCGGCCCTCTCCCGTGGGTGTGCAGACACTCCTTGTGGAGGTCATGGGTTCTGTGGCGGAGAAGATCGCCTTGTGGGAGGCATGACCCAACACCTCAGAGCAAAAAGATTCCCAGCCTGTCTGCCTGGGCATAAAGGGTGTGAGCAAGGTGCCGTTGTGCTTGAATGATTCGAAGGCAAAGATCTTTTGTTTTGGAGCCAAAATTTTGAAAGTTTGTCTTGTGCTGGTGGGAGCACAGGCAAGTTACGTTTCAGGAGGTGGTCCTAGGTGAGAATCTAAGTTCGATGGGCATGAAATACAAAATGATATTTCAGGGCCTCACTTCTGGGTTGCGATCAATAACACAGGTCTATTCTGGCAAAGAACCTGGGACTCTCAAGGTCAGAATTCTTTCTGGGGTAAAACAGGGTTTGTGCCTTCAATAGGGATGATACAAATTTGTTATTTGCTTGAAATGTGCTGAGTGCTTTTGCAGATAGAGTAACTCCATTCTTAGAACAACGCTGTGAGTGGGTACTGTTAATATGTTCATTTTGTAGGTAGGGAAACTGAGGCACAGAGTGATGACATGCGTGTCTTCAAGGCAAACCGAGTGGCCGAGCCGGGAATTCAACCCGGGCAGACTGGGCCCAGAGTCAGCACTGGTACCTTCCTTCCCAGGTCTTCCTGCCTCATGCCCCTTTCTGGTTCCCCCCCATCAGAGCAGCCTCTAAAATGAGGCTGACCTGACATTTCCTGTCGCGTGTAGCTCAGACTGGCCAGGCTTGGGGGAGACTGTTTTGTTATTCTTAATTAAACAAAAACTGGGTCTGCTGGCAACTGTAGTTTTCAGCATGTCTGGGGTTACTAATTGGAGCCAGACCGGCTTGGTGGGTTGTGAAGTTTGAGGGTGTTTAAAGACACACCCCGTATTCTAATCTAGGCCGTGTCTAAAATAAACCCGTGATGTTCTGGTTTGGAGCGACAGGCCTCGCTGTCCCACAGACGTGGGTCGGAATCCCTAGCTCTGTGATCTCGGGCCAGTTGTTTGACCTCTCCGTCTCATTTGTGCAGAGGAGATGAACTCAAGGGTTGAGTGCAATGAGCAAGGCCATACGAAGTACTGAATAACCATTTAGTGAATGATAGAAGATATTTATAGGAAGTGGGTTCATCCAGTAGGAGGACGATCAACTCATTTTTTTATTAAGCAACTTGTCTGTGAATGTTCATAGCAGTGCTTTGCACATCAGCCAAAAAGTGGAAACAGCCCAAATGTTTATCAGCTGATAATGGACACACCGTGGTCAGTGCAGGCAGGGAATACTATCCAGCCATAAAAAGGAATAAAGCACTTGGATGAAACTTGAAAAACAAAGGAAAGAAGCCAGACACCAAAGGCCTCGTGTTGTAAGGTTCCATTTGTGTGAAGTATCCAGAACAGGCAAATCCGTAGAGACCGAAAGTAGATAAAATGTTTCCTAAAGGGGGGCAGGTGGGATAGGGAGTGAGCGCTTAATCGATAGGGGGTTTCTTTCTGGGGCAATGAAAATGTTCTAGAGCTAGGTAGAGATTGTGGTTGCACACTGTTGTGAGTGTACTAAATGCCCCTGAATTGTACACTTTAAAATGGTTCATTTTATGCTATGTGTCTCTTACAACAATTGTTTAAAATTTCTTAAGCACCTACAGTATGAGCCAGACATAATGGCCCCTCCTGCGGACCTTTCAGGGGACAGGCAATAGATAAGTCTGATCCATAAAACAAGATTATTTCAGAGTGGTAAGTGCTGTTTCAGAAATAAGGGAAGAGGATGTAATCATATTGAAGAAGAATCTTTGTTCAAGCTTAGGATGGATCTGCCCTGCTCTAAGAGAGAGGCTCTGTTATGGTCTTCCCTGTTTTACAGATGAGGACCGCAAAGGCATGGAAAGGTTGACTCTCTTGCCCCCAGTCCAGCTAATCAGTGGGAGAGGACGGGGAGTGCCCACACTTGTAACCTCTGTAGAACTGGAAGTTAAGTGGAATAGAGTGGCCAGGGAAGTAAGCTGAATGAGAAGGAGGTAGAGGGAGAGAGCACGCCAGGCAAAGGGAGCAGCATGAGCAAAGGCCCTGCGGTGGGAATGGGTTTGGTGTATAAGGACAAGGGAGGGCTGGTTGTAGGGCTGTGACAGACTGAGCAAGGGACAGAGGGAGACAGCCACATCATGCAGGACCTAGGGTTAGGGTCAACAAAACAGGCTCAACAGTGATGCAAGAAAGGCCTTGTGGGAGCCAGGAGAAAGGGGTCAAGTACCTTGCCAGGAGACATTGGGCAGGATGTGGAGGGAGGGGCATGAGATGGGTCTGGGAAGATGGGTTGGCATGGAAGGAAAGGGGTGGGACAAGGTTGACGAGGCACGGTTCACAGGTTGGGTGCATTGGGGTGTGGATCTTGGGGAGCACAGGGAAAAATTACAGCTGGACCCACGTGGTGGGCACATCTGAATGGTAAGCTGAGAGCTGGTGTTTTTTTCTTATTCCTTTGCTTTTTAGTTAGTTTTTTTTTTTTTAAGAAGCTTAACATTTATAGTTTTTTTTTTCTTTTTAATAAGGTCACAGTTGCATGGAATGCCATTTCAAATAGTTCAAAGTTAAAAAAAAGAAATCAGCTTGCCACCTCTGACCCTATCTCCATTCTGCTTCCCAGAGCAGTACGGATATTCTGAATACGGATAGATCCTGCCTCTTCATGCGTTTTCTGTTTTTCATTATACATGCTGTCCCACTCTCTTCTCCTTCTTTTCCCTCCTCTTCCTTCCTCTTCTTTTTTTAATTAATAAATTTTGGAGACCACATCCTATTGGTACATAAAGCTTTGATTCCTTCTTTTTGGAGGGCTGCCAAAAGCAAACTATTATTCAGAATGTACCCTATTTAACCCACCCGATAGTCAATATTTTGTTAGCGTCCCGTCTTTTGCCCCTGCATGACTCGCTGCAGTGACGGTCTCCCTATGAAGATTGCTGTGTGTGCACATAGACAAATTCACCTACAGACCGTTAGACAGCAGACTCCAAGGGTCTGTGCATTTACAAATTTTTAAATTGAATCCTAGTTGGTGTACTTTCCTGCATGAGAAGTATGAAGCATAGTGAATCCTTGTACCCTGAAGATATCCATGTCACGAGCACACGGGTCTAGAAATGGGTTGTCCCAGGCTCTCTGTGCCCCTCCAGCCCAAGACAACCATTCTCCTGCCTTTGGCAACATAGTTTTTGTCTTTTGTCTTTACACACAGTTCTAATTCCATACACGCTTTTTAAAAAATAATATTTTATTTATTTATTTGAAATAGAGAGCCACGAGCAGGGGGAAAGGGAGAAATAGACTCCCCACTGAGCAGGGAGCCCGATGTGGGGCTCGATCTCGGGACTCCAGGATCATGACCTGAGCTGACGGCAGACTCCTAACTGACTAAGCCGCCCCAATGCCACATACACACTTTTAACACCGAGAGAGACTGCTAGATTGTTTTCCAAAGAATG